TGGTAATTTTTTACATTAGTTGACATTGGAATTGAGACATGAAGTTTAGTCAGGTAGGTAGTACTCACCAAGTAAAGTAGTGTAGTAGTATTTACTAGAATTTTGTTTATTATTTGTTTAAAAATGAATGTGAGTGAGATACAGGCCCTTAAAGTTTTCTTAATCGGAGGAAATTCCGGTAGGTACGGCCCTGGCTTCAGCCTTCCGTCAGCTGTTCCCGCCAAACATCGTTTGTCCTAAAACATATCTTCCTAACATTATTCTAATGTATCAGCCCGCCTTCGGCGGGCAGGGGCATTAAACAAACTCGAGTCTGTCATACATCTACCTAACTAAACAATGACGTCATCAATGCATATTTGGCGAGAACAGCTGACGAAGGGCTGCAGCCAGGGCCGTACCAATCGAAATTTCCTCCGATTAAATAACTTTAGGAGCCTGTATCTCAAGCTACATTGGTTTCCGCACGGAATTAATGCTACCACACGATTCTACTTGGTGAGTACTACCTACCTGACTAAACTGCATGTCTCAATTCCAATGTCAACTAATGTAAAAAATTACCATTCTTTAGAAATATATTAGAAGTAAATCAACACTTTGTTAATCTAGTAATTTTGTTAATAAGTAATAGCATCAAGAGAAAAAAATTCGGCATCTCTCTCGAGTATGAAGTGTGAATTACCACCAGGGGGTTCCGTACTTTCTCCCTGAGACCTATATACAATTTTTTACCATACCCTTGACCCTAAAGTACAATTTTTCCTGGTTTTAGAGACGAGAAAGTGCAATATATTTAATTTGTATCTTAAGTAAAAGGTCATCGATCCGTTTATAAACAAATAAAAATAAATAAATACACACTTCCATGTAAGAAATCGGTCATTAGGAAAGTATTTTAACACCCTCCGCATGATAATTGCCACCCGAACTGAAGACGAGGGTGTAAATCACACAGAGGATGATAAAATCCTTTCTTACACGCGAGAGAATGTTGTCCTTAAAATAGTCCGGTATACTCAGTCATAATAAATGAAAAATGAATTGTCGCAATTTTGATTTTTTTTATAATTCTTAGAAATTTCAATAAAAATTATAATTTTTAGGAATTTTTAAACATTTATTTGAATAAAATAATGCTTGCTATAGTGTTAAACACTGTTAAGCGGT